AACTTTTGTTGGTATATAGTTGCATCGTTTGTTTATAATTCGCTTATGATTGCTTTCACGTTACAGTGGCAGAGTTAAGTTGTTGTAACCTCTGTTTAGGAGTGTATAAGGTATGGTCCATGGGCTAAATTGCTTGCCACCAGTTTATAAACATATAATGCATTATTTGTTTCAGAGGTACAGGTCTGTGATTCAACAGTCTTACACAATTCACAACACTCAACATATCACATACCCTCCCCAGTGTCTATTACCCAGCCACCCCATCCCTCCCACCCCCCCACCACTTTGCTCTTTAAAAAAATTTGGCTTGTTTTTCTTATTGAGTTGTAAGAGTTCTTTATATATTCTGAATATATATCCTGTCAGACTGCATAATTTTTCTGTTCCCTTTTATATTTTTATTTTGTTAAAAGTGTTAAGAACAGCAACTTTCTGATTTTGATAAAGTCCATTGTTTCAAAAAGTCTTTTCTGTTATGGTTTGTGCCTTTGTATCCTAAGAAATCTTTATCTACCCCAAAGTCATGAAGATATTCTTACATTTTCTTCTAAGATTGTAGTTTTTAGCTTTTATGATTAGGCCTGTGATCCATTTTCACTTAATTTTTACGCGTATGGTTGGAAAAAAGTTGGGGTTTGTTTTTATTCATTTTTATATCAGTTTTTCAGCATAATTGAATTACTTTAGCACATTGGTTTAAAATCAGTTGACCACCTATGTGTGGATCTATTTCTGGACTCCATACTGTTCCATGATCTATATGGCTATTCTTATGCCAATACCCTACTGTTTTCATTACTGGAGGTTTTTTTTTAAACAGATTCCTAACCTGCTGTGGGTGCCTGTCACCTTGCCTTATTTTCTTTCTTTTTTTTTTTTTTAAAGATTTTATTTATTTATTTGACAGAGAGAGACACAGCGAGAGAGGGAACACAAGTAGGGGGGGTGGGAGAGGGAGAAGCAGGCCTCCCATGGAGCAGGGAGCCCCATGCGGGGCTCGATCCCAGGACCCCGGGATCATGACCTGGGCTGAAGGCAGACGCCCAACGACTGAGCCACCCAGGTGCCCATTACTGGAGCTTTATAGTAAATCTTCAAAGCAGGTGGTACAGGTTTTCTAACTCTGTACCTTTCTACAGTTGCTTTGATTGTCCTAGGTTATTTGCATTTTCATATATTATTTTAGAATTTGCTTGCGCTTGACAGTTTCTAAAAAAAAAAAAAGATGCTGCAATTTTAATTAGGATCGTGTTGAATCTTTAATTAAATTAAGGAGAATTGATATCTTAATAATATTGAGTCTTCCAATCTATGTACATTGTCTATATCCATTCATTGAGATCTTTAATTTCTCTCAACAACTTACTGTAGTTTTCATTGTAAAGGTCTTATGCTTACTTTTGTCATTTTTAGTATTTTTTTCATGTCTTTGATGATATTCTAATTAGATTTTTTACTTTAAATTTCCAATTTTGAATTAGAAGCCAAACAAAAAGGAGTCAATAATGTATGTCTCCATTTATACAAATGCAAATAAATTTATCTTAACACAGAGTAAATTGATGATTGCCTGTATCAGTTATACCTCAGTAGTGCTAAAGAAATGAAAGATGTCAAATG